TTGGAGGAGGTGTGGCCTTGTTGGAGGAAGTGTGGCCTTGTTGGAGGAGGTGTGGCCTTGTTGGAGGAGGTGTGTCACTGGATGTGGGCTTTGGGGTTTCACATGCAGCACATGCAAGCCAGGCCCAGTGGCACTCTCTTTTTCTGCTGCCTGCTGATCCAGATGTAGAACTCTCAGCTGCCTCTCCAGCACCATGTCTGCCTGTGTGCTGCCATGCTTCGTGCCAGGATGATAATGAACTAAACCTCTGAACTGTAGGCCAGCCCCAATTAGATGTTTTCCTTTATAAGAGTTGCCGTGGTACCAGGCAGTGATGGTGCATGCTTTTAATTTCAGCACTTAGGAGGCAGAGGCAGGTGGATCTCTGTGACTTCCAGGCCAGCCTGGTCTGCAAAGTGAGTTCTAGGCCAGCCAGAGCTGTTACACACAGAAACTCTTTCTCAAATTAAAAAAAAAAAAAAAAAAAAAGAGTTGCTGTGGTCATGGTGTCTCTTCACAGCAATAAAACTCTAAGTTGTCAACTCTTAGTTGACAATAACCAAAAAGTAGCTAAGACATGCTTAGAAGGGAATGTGGGAGTGTGTAAATGTCTGTGTTGGTATTTATTCGTTCAATCTAGGAGAAGGTTGAATGGTCCACTGTAGGAGGGTAGGCCTGGGAAGATCAAAAGCTAGAGGACAGGGCTCCAGGGACTTCCCCACCCCCTACTGCTCTTCTGTTAGTTGATTTCAGGTTTTTCAGAGCAACTGGCAATACTTAACTTGCCCATTTAATAGACACACTGGGTCACTGTCCTATGTAAAATAATCCAGGGATGAATGCTAATGTCTGGCTTGGATCAGGTAGCAGCTCCTCATCTTATCAGGTGAAACTTGAAACAGAAGCAGGTCTTTGGGAAAGCATGTGTTACACTGGAGACCTATATACTCCTCAGAAAAATAAAAAAGAGAACTAATTGGCTGCTAGGAAGATTACCAGTTATAAAGATTTCTAGCCAGAATGACCCAAAGTGTACTTGATAATATGCCTAGATGACCTTTAATTCCAGATTTGAGGATTTGGATTGCTATGTTTATGCATTAACTAATTACTTAATTTGGCAAAATGCTATATATTATGTGTAACATGATGTTTTGAATTATGCATATTATGCATACATGGTGGAATGGCTAAATCAAGCTGATTGGCACATGCATTATCTTATGCTTTTTGTGGTGAGAATGCCTAAGCTCTACCCTCGGCAATTTTTAAGAACACAGTGCACCGCCATTTGCTATAGTCACCATGCTGTATGTTAGGTCTCCTGAGCATCTTCTGTCTTACTGAGACTTTATATCCCTTACTAAAAGCTCTTCAGCTTCTCCCCACCAGTTCCTTGAAACCTGCATCCTACTCTTTAATACTCTGAGTGCAAGTTTTGGGGTATTTTATTTTATTTTATTGGCTGGAGAGACAGCCGTGGGTGCTGGGAACCAATCTCTTATATTTTTGGTTATGAGCCTAGACTTTAACAGCTGAGCCATCTCTCCAGCCCATATTTTATTTTTTTAATGAGGTCATGTGTTATTCTTTCTTCTGTGTCTGGTTTATTTCATTTAACATAATGTCCTCCAGGTTCATTGATGTCTTTGCAAATGACAGTATTTCTGTCTTTTCAAAGTGCAGTCCGTTGTGTGGATACACACACCACAACTCACACTATATGCCATGTATGCTTAAATTGATTCCGTATCTTCCTGCTATGGACAGCGCTACAATGAGCTAAGGATGCAGATTTCTCCTCAACACACTGATCACATTTCTTCTCAGCCTACACCCAGAAGTGGCATTTGCTGATGCATCCATATTGTTATCAGTCAGTAACTTTCAGAATCCTGCTATCCAGCAAGACCTTGGACTCTCATTCAAAGGGACAGCAGGATGGTGTCCAAGCCAAACAGGAACCCCTCCTTTCCAGTCCTTTTCCTTCACAGCCTGTGTGTAGTGTGACTTGTGGAGAAGCTGACTTGTTACTTCTGTTACTAGAAGCTCCAGAAGCCAGAGGAAAGGATTTCCAGGTCACCAGTTACTGTGGCAGTTTTTTCAACCTTGTGGGTAGTCACCAAGGCTCTGGTGCCAAGAGAAGAGTGAGATGGAGGATTGGAATAGCAGCTCTAGTTGCTAGAACAGCTGAAAAGTTCAGTAGTTTACCAGTGTGCATGTTTGACTTTGTGTTGTGGTTGGCAGTTAAGATTCCTTCTCCTACTTTTCTTGTGTAAGATTCTGTAAATTATGCCCCTCTGACATCCAGGGACTCCACTTTCAAGGAAGAGGAAAATGTATCCGGTTCCATGGCTAGCTCTTGACCCTTACAGTCTTATTATTGGGTAGGCTGCTTTTGATCTCAGCTTCTTGAGGCAGTTGGATGTCACTTTCCTCTTTAAAGAAGCTGAAGGTTCAGAAAAACATTTTGAAGTTACATTGTTGTTTTTAGGACAATCAGCCATCACTAAACCTTGCTGAAGTCTTACCGACTTCTAAGATCACTGTAACCAACCAGCTAACAATCTGTAGCTTTTGCTTTTGTCTGAGGAGAGAGCAGCATGGACCCCTGGAGGAGAGCTGGGAGTTCCTCCAGCTGTGCCTGCCTGCCACTGCTGTGTGTAATGTGGCTCTTTTGATGCCTGTCATATCCTTACGCTGCTTCAATGACTTGGCCTGACTAGGGGTGCCAAGAGAATGGAGAAGAGACAGACACACATGCCCAGGAAAGCTGGGAGCAGCTGGACTGCACTTTCTGTTGGAGAAACTGCAGCAGCCCAGAAGCATGGCATGATTATTATATACAGTAGAAGAGAGGGCAGTGTTGCTGCACACAGCTGAGACAGGAAACAGAGTTATTACAGATAAACAAGGAGGCGGGCTTCATGGTATACAGATGAACATGGAGGCAGCTTTAACTAATCTCAGAAGAGAGTCAGCAGCAGTGGGCATTTTCTTCACACACTATCAACATCCACATATAGACCAAAAGGAAGGCTTTGCCATCCCTCCG